GATAAAACAAGTAAAGTAGAACAGAAAAGATTGAGAAAGAGCTGACTAAAGTAAAGCATTAGAATCAGGGAAAGATCTCAAGGAAAAGTAATTAAGAAAGAATAAAAGATTATTAATGAAATAAAAGTAAGATACGTGACTAAAGAGAAGGAAGTCACGGTCAAGTTCTCGGAAGCTGAGTAAGCAGTTGACGAGACAGCTGACGAGCGGAGCACGAGACATGCTCCGGTCAGGGACACCACACTCCTCCCTAATCAACGACCTAATTAATTAATATATATTGAGCGCGAGATGCACCGACGCTAGCTCAGTAATATAGCTCATTAACATCGCTCACTACTCGTTCACTCGCTCGCTCATATCAACAGTATCGATATACCGTACATCGCGTCCGACTATTATAATCGCGAATAAGTAAAAGTGTACCAACACCTGTGAAATATATTAATTTATACCTAACGTCCGGGAGTGTCTTATTTCGAGCGTGGATCCTAATCCTTTGGGCGTATAAATCCCTAAAGACCTCTTCCTTAGCGGCTAGAGGCACAACATTAATTGGTGGCAGCGGTGGGATACGCCAGCTCTAACAAGATCGACACCGGCAAAGGTCCACAACCACGAGGAAGAAAAATTCCGTGGATTAGACAGAACGAGAGACAGCAAAGGAAACTCCGTCAAACGGTCAACAACTACAACCGAGAAAAAGAAAGTCCATCAGAAACTTCGAGTCGCCCGGTACATCGAGGCGACAACGATAAGCGGAACCTGAGAAGGCGCACCGACCTATCTCAACGGCACGCGACGATCGACGCCCGACGGCCGACACCGAACGAGAGACAATGCTGCTCATCGTATTATTGTAAGTCGAAAAATTTGTAAACGCGTGAATGTCGGAAAACCGAAACGCGCAACAAAAAAGCGTAGCGAATAAATCGTGGCTATTTAGCGAACCAGCGAATAGAGCCATTAGAAATAGCGCAGTAAGCCCTATAAGAGTAGCAATAGAAGCACTCCGGGATATATGCGATAACGTACGAAGAAATCTAAATGAATTAAATTCAAGCGAGAATTTGTCCGAACCAGAACTCGGAGCAAACGTTGTAATCGAACGCGAATTTTCATTCGGCGAATTAGACAACAGTTTAATAGCGAATAATATAGAACTAGATATTGATGTCGAATCATCAATAAGCGCATCTAGTAGACTAACACACCGCCGCGAATTCTCACTAACGTCATACGATTCAAGTATCTTTGACCCCGACGAAATCTATCGTACTCGAGACATGTATAATTCAAACGCTTCCGCATCGCAACCCATCACATCGGAAGATATCGATGAGGGAATTAAGCGATTACAAGAAGAAGCAAATAGAAACGCGACACAATCAAACGCGCAAGCTCAATACAAACCGCAGAAAGAAACGGACGAAGCAGCCGACCTTAGGGACATATTGCGGGAAATGAGACGGGAAATTAGAAGTATGCATGCCGAGATATACGATTTAAAAATGAGAGGATCGCAACCCCGACAAAACAATGAGCATAGAACTCCGCCGGGAGAAAGAACCGAAACCGCGTACGAGTCCACACCCGAAGATGTACGACATCGAAGAGGACGCGGATTTTTACCATTAAAAGAGGCTCGCGGAATGATTCCGGAATTCGACGGATCGCCAAATAAATTGCAAGAATTTTTGAGCGCGACTACATATGCAGTAGAACATATTGACCCATTAGACGAAGTAACGCTATTAGGAGCAGTATTATGCACGAAATTAAAAGGCAGAGCGATGCTAGACTTTCAAACGCGTAAAATTCAAGATTTCGCACAGTCATTAGAAATAGCGCAGTAAGCCCTATAAGAGTAGCAGTAGAAGCACTCCGGGATATACGCGATAACGCACGAAGAAATTTAAACGCATTAAATTCAAGCGAGAATTTCCGAACCAGAACTCGGAGCAAATGTTGTAATCGAACGCGAATTTTCATTCGGCGAATTAGACAACAGTTTAATAGCGAATAATATAGAACTAGATATTGATGTCGAATCATCAATAAGCGCGTCTAGTAAACTAACACACCGCCGCTAATTCTCACTAACGTCATACGATTCAAGTATCTTTGACCCCGACGAAATCTATCGTACTCGAGACATGTATAATTCAAACGCTTCCGCATCGCAACCCATCACATCGGAAGATATCGATGAGGGAATTAAGCGATTACAAGAAGAAGCAAATAGAAACGCGACACAATCAAACGCGCAAGCTCAATACAAACCGCAGAAAGAAACGGACGAAGCAGCCGACCTTAGGGACATATTGCGAGAAATGAGAGAGGAAATGAGACGGGAAATTAGAAATATGCATGCCGAGATATACGATTTAAAAATGAGAGGATCGCAACCCCGACAAAACAATGAGCATAGAACTCCGCCGGGAGAAAGAACCGAAACCGCGTACGAGTCCACACCCGAAGATGTACGACATCGAAGAGGACACGGATTTTTACCATTAAAAGAGGCTCGCGGAATGATTCCGGAATTCGACGGATCGCCAAATAAATTGCAAGAATTTTTGAGCGCGACTACATATGCAGTAGAACATATTGACCCATTAGACGAAGTAACGCTATTAGGAGCAGTATTATGCACGAAATTAAAAGGCAGAGCGATACTAGACTTTCAAACGCGTAAAATTCGAGATTTCGCACAGTTGAAACAAGAATTAGAGGTCTGTTACGCAAGCAAAAAGAGTACGACCCATCTACAAATTGAATTTAACACGCTAAAACAGAAGAACGGAGAAAGCGCGCGAACTTACGGACTTAGAGCCGACAAACTAGCCATGGAGCTATACGAATCGATGATGGAAGGACGTCATCATACAGTAGATAATAAACGCGCAATCATGGAAATAATACAGCAACAAGCCTTAGAAAATTTCCAAATAGGATTGCAAGACGAAATTAAAACAATTGTTCGATCGCGAGGATATGCTACGTTGCAAGAAGCAATAGCAGCGGCCAGCGCGGAAGAACCATCACATCGGAAGATATCGATGAGGGAATTAAGCGATTACAAGAAGAAGCAGATAGAAACGCGATACAATCAAACGCGCAAGCTCAAGCAGCCGACGAGCTTAGAGACATATTGCGGGAAATGAGAGAGGAAATGAGACGGGAAATTAGAAGTATGCATGCCGAGATATACGATTTAAGAATGAGAGGACCGCAACCCCGACAAAACAATGAGCATAAAACTCCGCCGAGAGAAAGAACCGAGACCGCGTACGAGTCCACACCCGAAGATGTACGACATCGAAGAGGACGCGGATTTTTACCATTAAAAGAGGCTCGCGGGATGATTCCGGAATTCGACGGATCGCCAAATAAATTACAAGAATTTCTAAGTGCAACTACATATGCAGTAGAACATATTCCACACCCGAAGATGTACGACATCGAAGAGGACGCGGATTTTTACCATTAAAAGAGGCTCGCGGAATGATTCCGGAATTCGACGGATCGTCAAATAAATTGCAAGAATTTTTGAGCGCGACTACATATGCAGTAGAACATATTGACCCATTAGACGAAGTAACGCTATTAGGAGCAGTATTATGCACGAAATTAAAAGGCAGAGCAATGCTAGATTTCCAAACGCGAAAAGTTCGAGACTTCGCGCAATTAAAAAATGAATTAGAAGTCTGCTATGCGAGTAAAAAGAGTACGACACATCTACAAATTGAATTTAACACGCTAAAACAGAAAAACGGAGAAAGCGCGCGAACTTACCGACTTAGAGCCGACAAAATAGCCATGGAGCTGTACGAATCGATGATGGAAGGACGTTATCATACAGTAAATAATAAACGCACAATTATGGAAATAATACAGCAACAAGCCTTAGAAAATTTCCAAAAAGGATTGCCAGACAAAATTAAAACAATTGTTCGATCGCGAGGATATGCTACGTTGCAAGAAGCAATAGCAGCGGCCAGCGCGGAAGAAAAGGTTAAAGGACCGGCCGCGACCGGCACGCGAAGCAAAATCAATTTTACACCGACCTATAAACAGGAAAATCAAACGAATGTAAAATGTCAAAAATGCGGAAAAACCGGGCATTACGGTCGAGATTGTCGAACTAGCCGATACGCGAATCGATTTTCATTGCCGAAACCCGATAGACAACCCCGCGTAAATACGATAAATAAATATTGCAATTATTGCAAAAAATCCGGACACAATCGCGAAGAATGTTGGTTATTACACGGACGACCCAATAGAGATCAATCGAGCCGAACCAAACAATATAATTCGCGACCGGAAAATAAAAACCGCAAGAATAGCGAGCAAGGAAAAAAGAAATTTAACTCCGCGCAAAGTAGCGATGAGGAGGAAAGGAACGAAAGAAAATCGCACCGACCTGCAATTGAATATCAAGTATCACACTTTAAAAATACGCCGCATATACCATACAGACAGGATTGGTCCTTGTCACATTACCAATGCGAGAAGCGAAACGCGAAAAAATAAATTTGCTATTCGATAGGAGCCGTAATATCACTAATTAAAGTGAAACATTTAAAAGGCGAAACGTTAATAAAAGAAGAAAAGATAACGCTCACCGGCGTAACGGGACATAAGATATGTACAATTGGAAAATTTAAGGCGACAATAACTCTGGAAGAGCGCCGAATCAAGCACACTATGTACGTTGTTAAGGATAATTTTCCGATAGAATATGACGGAATACTAGGAGTTGATTTCCTACGAAAACATCAAGCCACTTGTTATTATAAAACAAAACAATTAAAGGTAGGACAGCATATCCTAAAGCTTTACCCCTATCTAAAAATGACGTTGAAACCACGTAGCGAAACAATAATACAGGTCGCTACTGATAAGAACACGATAGGCGTGATAAAGGCAGAAGAAACAATACCAGGAATATTTATAGGTAATTGCCTAGTAGAACCTACGAATTACATATGTGCAGCAAGCATTCTAAATACAACGGATAACATAATCGAAATGTTAATGCCGCAAGTAAGTGTAGAGGAAATCGAACGAAGTGAAACAGAAGAAATTAACGTAATACGAACGCCAAATAAAGAGGAAGTAATCCCGCGTAGTAAAAAAGTTTTACGATTATTACGTGCACAACATTTAAATAAAGAAGAAAAGAAAATGATAATGGAAATCTGCAAGGACTTTAGCGACGTGATGCATATCGAAAGAGAACCACTGACATGCACAGATATCGTCGCGCATAAGATTGCAACGCAAGCAGATAGCTCACCGGTCAACGTACGGCCTTACCGCCTGCCAGAGAAGCAGAAGTAAAGAGGAAGTAAATCGACAAGTCCGAGAAATGTTAAAAAATAAAATAATCCGACCAAGCATGAGCCAATGGAACGCACCGTTATTGGTAGTCCCTAAGAAAGCGAGATTTATTTCCCTTACCGAATATAACGGATATATTAGATCAGCTTGGAAACGCCAAGTACTTTAGAACACTGGATTTAGCATCCGGATACCACCAAATTCCAATGGAAGAAGGCGACAATTGCAAAACTGCTTTTTCCACACCTCACGGACATTACGAATACAATAGAATGCCCTTCAGATTAAAAAATGCGCCAGCTACATTTCAAAGGCTAATGAATTCAATACTGATAGACATACAAGGAATAAAATGCTTAGTATATTTAGATGACATCGTAATCTACGGAGCCAGCTTACAAGATCATAACAAGAGACTCATCGAAGTCCTACGAAAATTGCGAGAAAACAATCTGAAGTTACAGCCGGACAAATACGAATTCCTACGAAAAGAAGTGACATACTTAGGTCATATAATTACAGAAAATGGAATATCGCCGGATCCATCTAAACTGGAAGCCGTAAGAAATTTTCCGACGCCTAGGAAAGTAAAAGATATTCAAGCTTTTATAGGATTAGCCGGGTATTATAGAAAATTTATTGAAAATTTCTCTAAAATCGCGAAACCACTAACGAAGTTAACCAAAAAGAAAAATAAATTTGAGTGGACGCAGGAACAACAACAAGCATTTGAAATGCTTAAAGAAAAATTAACGACGGCACCTTTACTAAAAAATCCAGATTTCGAAAAAGAATTTATCGTAACGACCGATGCATCAGATTATGCAATCGGAGCGATATTATCACAAGGAGAAATAGGCCAAGATCAACCAATAGGATATGCCAGTCGAACACTATCGAAAGCCGAACAAAATTATAATACGACCGAAAAAGAACTATTAGCAATAGTGTTACATCCAGACTCGGGGAAGGATGAGTCGACGGAAGGGCGGAACAACTATCTTTTATTATCCCGAAGTCAAACGTCTCGTGGCGTTTGGAATCGGGTCGAACGAACTGACAGGTCCGTTTAACAAAATATAAATTTATTTATTTTTAAAGTAGATGGTGGGTATACATGATTATAAAAAACTAAAATAAAATATAATATACATTCTTCTCTGAGTATATGTGAGTGTGTGTTCTTTTCTTTTTCTTTCGTCCTTCTTTTACAAAAATATATATATATTTTTTTTACTTTTTTTTTAAATTTTCTCGTAATAACAAGAACTTTTCTCACAATAACAATAATTCTTCTTGTATTAACAATAATTTTGTACTTTATCAAAAGAAGATCCTGGTGTACGCCGTATCTCGCACCATCATCCACGCGCATGCCTCGCGCTATCCTTCTCGCGCTATCCTCCCACACCCATAGAATGCTATCCTTTTCCTACTGACGAACGCCTCGCGCTATCCTTCTCCCACCCGGTCGCGCCGCAGTT